AATAGTACTTTTTTTTTTTTTTGGAAAATTTTTTTTTGAAATGCTTTTTTTTTTTTTTTAGAAATAAAAAAAAAAAAGAGAATTATTTTTCTGAGTAACAAGGACCAAACCAAAGGGGATAAATACGGTCATCTGAATGGCTGACTGTTTTGGGCTTGGTGGCATTTCCGTACACAACAAGGTGTGCATGTATGAGGACAGGCTGTAAAGCTGTGTCCCCAGACTGTATGCTGCCTCTATTTCCCTTATCTGACAGGGCATCTAGCTAGTGAAGAATTCAGCAAAAATTTGATGTCTTTATTCAGTCCAAGACCCAGGCCTAAGACAGCTTTAGCTTAACACAAGAAACTTAAATTGAAAGTTAGTTATCAAAGCCATGAAAGTTACATTCCAGATGCAACACAATGAAATTTCCTTCTGCCAAAGCTGGGGGAAATGCCCGAACTCACAAGGGCAGATTGAACTTCCCCATCTCAAGAGGCTTTAGGTTCCTCCAGGTGCCCTGCACACAGCAACTGGATGCTTAGCTCTGCCCTGGTTCAGGTGAGACACAGAGCTTCAGCAGGAGCTTCCTTTGCCAGCAAGAAGCAGCTTCAGTAGGACAAGTGAGGACATCTCTGCCGGAGCCAAGCCAAGCCCGCGGGGGCTGAGACCAGCACTGAGTCCGGGGGAGAGCCCTAATCCGGTGATCAGAAGTGCTGTGCTGCTGTCACGCTGCTGCTGCTTCGCAAGGAAGCTGTCAGCTCTACCAGCTCGGGGGTTTGAACTCGATTATCCCAAAATTGCACTTTGGTACTTCCCTGACGCTCCTGGGAACAACTGCTAAAATTCACAAGGAGACCTAGCATGGATGGTGTCATGTTGTGGAAATGTCTTCCAGTAAATCACAGCTTTTAGTTCACCTGAATTCTGAATAATCACTCAGAGTACCTTCTTTCAAAAGCAGTATTTATTTTCTTATCAAGATAAGACACATTACATACCGCATAAAGTAAAAAATACTGCTAGGAAAGCTGCATTTAACTGAGATAACAAAAAAAATATATATAGATTGCACTTGAGAAAGTAGGCTCTATCCCAGAAGAATACAGTAAATAAAAAGCCAGCATGTGGTTTGAAATCAGGAATCTTTCTCAATTTCCTCTGAAAATATATTTATTTTGGGGGGTTCCAATTCCACCAATAAAAAATGAACCAGATTAGTTTTTTTAATACTTTTGCTTTTTATGTTAAAATAATATATAAACAACATAACAGTTTTTACACAGACAAAAGAGAAAACAAAGGTATGGGAAAACAACCCTGCAATTTCTGCTAATAAATAAAAAGGAAAAGTTTTGCTGTATTTGGTTTCATCACGGTCACTGCAGCTTGGGGCTCAGGTTTTTAGGAATTCTTCCTAGTTCACATGCATATTATCACCCCACACAGCCACATAAAGCCCATCCTTGACTCTCCTGCACAGGCTGGGAGCATGCTGTCTGTATGGCAGACGGCAGCACGAAGCAGTAAGTGGTTCCATTCATTACTAAGTTTCCAAGGAGCAATACTTTAAATTTGGTGATAAGTTTGGCTTATATTTAAGAAAGTAAACCCAACATTAATCAAGAGGATAATCCCTACTATACCAATGTCTTTTTACTTTACAGCTGAATTTTTCTGCTGGACCCTGCTGCCTGTTCCTAATCAAGTTAGATAAACTATTAGCTGTTCAGTCTTTAAAATGGGTATTCATACCATCTACCTTTAGGTACCTCATTCAGATGCCCAAGTCAGTTTTCTGATCTTTCTATATCATCAAAAGACAGAAAGAAAAGCTCCCACACTGGGTGATTTCAACCTGGGGGCTAGGGCATGCTTTGGAAGAGCCTCCCTCTCCCAAGTCCCTGGTAATTCAGGCTCCCAGATGAGGCTGGACCCCCCAAATTAGGAAGTGTAAAGACCCCCCCCCAGCACATGGCTGCTGGGGTGGAGGCTGGGCAAGCAGGGAGAGGTGTGTGGGAGACACCAGGTGTGGTGTGTGTCCAGTGAACTTTTTCTCCTGGGGGTGGGCATTAAAGGACCACTCAAAGCACAAAGCCATATGAAACTGATGCTTCCTACAGCCAATGCTGACTATGAGGCCAGAATGCTTAGGCATAATTTCGGCATAATTCAGTCAGGAATATACATTGGAGTGCACTGTCTCAAAAACAACCAGTACTGCCAACATCTTGCATGCAAATTTCTTCCAAAATTAGCTGAAAATTATGGAAGGACAGGGTCAATCTTGTTATTAAACTGAAGATAGAAAAAGAATGAAATTTTCTTTAAACAGTCCTGAACTATGAAACAAAACTGTCAATCTTCGGTTACAGTGCTGGTTTTTTAATGTGAATTGCTTTGAAAAATGATGAATCACTTCCCAAATCAGCATTCAAGAGCATTTTTAAATAGACATCTGGGACCCAAAGAGGAAAAATTAATATAAATAATAAAAACCCCGCACTTTTTGAATCTCAAAGGTTAAAGTACAGGAAAGAAAGTAACACAACATTTCTAAGGGATGTTTCAGTAAAGTTTTGCTAAAATTATAAAAGAGCACTTATAAAATACTTGAGCTAATAAAGAGGGTAAATCAGAACATTAGGGCACTTTTGCAACAAAATTGTAGGTTGCTAAACCATACCGGCTTGAAGGCTCTCAATATTATATTATAGCACATGCCAGTTTCCACTAATTATCAATGCACTATTATCAAACTACTTTGCTCTTTCAGAGAGACAGAAACACAAGAGGCAACACAAACAAGATGAACTGATGCAGCCTATGTCTGCTATTAAATATAAAACCTCAGCCATTAAGCATGCTGCCCCATTCACTCTGTTGCATTCATGATCAAAACTCCAATTCTTTGCCAGATTTAAATCCACAAAAGTGTACTTTACACTTTTGGAGCAGCATTTAAAATCCTTTAAAGCTAGTTTGAAAGGATTTTTTTTTCCTTTTCTGCTGGAGCACTTTCAATATATTTTAAAAGGCATAGGAAGCTATGGTGTAGCTTTTAAAGTGCTTGTTTTATTATGAGGTGGTGTTTAATAATATTCTTAATAAATGATGCACATTTTCCATGACAGACAGACATTGCTTAATGAGTTAATACGCCTCAGTAAAATGCAATCAAAAAGAAATTCACTGTCAACAGTTTAACCATGGCAATACACAGAGCTGAAATGAGACAACTAACCTCAGATAACTAAGATTAATGCATATATGACGCAGTTATAATAATCCATATTTAAAACAAACAAACAAACAAACAAACCCCAAACCAAATAATGATAATTAAATCTCAAGCACAGTTTCGTTTCCCAGTAACACAACTACAAAACAAATCAATATTTTCAACAATCAAGTGCCCAATCTTCATTGCCTGCGTGGGGGAAACATGGCCTCCTCGAACTGCGGCGAGGAGGATACAAGGGGAGGGTTGTCTGTCTCTTTTCGTGTTGAGGGGGCTCCTTCCAGGCAACTGTGGGCAGCTCTGTGTGAGGGGCACGAGTCCAGATCATGTAGGTAGAGACCAGAATCAGCCCCAGCCCACAGGGATTTACCTGGGGACCTGGTGGGAGCCCCCTCTTGCAGAAGCACCTGGACGATGGCTCCTGGGGAGTCACCGTGGCAAAAATACCAGCCTCCACACCCCACCACCACCACCAGTATCCCAGCTTACGCAAAGCACCTACTAATTTCAGCACACCATTTGCTTCAGTAAAAACAGTGAGATTTTATCTTAGTGGTGTGCTATTTAACATAGTGATCAGTTTTCCTCAGTATTTCTCACTCTGTTGCACCAGAACACTGGGAAGTTCCCTCTTCAAGCAGGATAAACAATTTTACACTCATAAAGGCTCAAATTCTCTCTTCATTTATACCCACAAAACCCTACTGACTCTCAGGAGGGCTGAGTAGGTAGAAATGGCAGCAGAATTTGAGTGTAGGAACTGATGAGTGAGAAACAGAAATGCAATGCTATTTCATTGCCAGCTACCACAAATACCTACACATCTGGTGTTTCTTTTCAGTGGGCATTGTGTGCCTAAGGACTACAAGTGAGCTTTGAAAATCTCAACCCTCAGAATCTAGCTACAGATAACCTTAATCCTATATTCTCAGATGCTGATACATAAATCTATGATATACCTGTTTAGCTGCCATGGCACTAATCAGCATGGCTATGCTGAAACACAGCAATCATTTTTGCTAATTGCAAAGGCAGGCTAGTAGCAAAGTTCAAATGATTAGTGAGTGAAGGTCCTCAGAGCAATCCTGCTTAAAAGTAAACATCCGGTAAGCTGCAATTAGTGTGACTTGTTTTTTTCTTTTTTTTTTTTCTCTTTTTCATCTTATCGTGGTGGTCTTGAACTGCAGATACAATCACAACGCTCATGGTGATCCAGCTGTATATCTACTAAGGCCATGTTGTTCCTGGTTCTGCCTTTTCTTCTGGGATGCCCAGCCTCAGGGATGAATTTCAGCACCTGGAGGATCAACAAAAATGCACTGATTAGAAAATGCTGTAAGAGAGTTGAGGATGAGAGTGTTGGGGCCCTGAGGGCACCAAGAGCCCTTAGTGGCCCTGACCAGCATTAATTTGGACACATTTTTGCTTTACTTCCAGCCTTTTTTTTTCCCACTCTGCAACATCCTGCTGTACTGTTTGTCCTGGAGCTTTGACAGATTGGATTATTTCCTACATCAGGTATCTTTATATATCGTTCAGTTCCCTAACCATGTCCAGAGTTGCTTCCTTGCATGTGAATTATCAAGTGTGTTTCCTTTGGCTTGTCTTTGCAGTAGCATTCATATTTGAATTGCTCTGCCCCTTCTCTCGCTTGTATAGTATTTCTGCTCTAAAGAACAAGGAACATTTTTTTATGCAATTTAAAATTTCTGAAGCACATATAATCAGAACTGGTCCAAAAATTAAATGCCCGTGGGAGGCAGAAGAAGATGAATGGAGCTTGCGCAAAATATGCACCAGATCCCATCAAGTTTCTCTGGAATGTGACTTTTGTTGGCTTATCTTAAAAATCTCTGCCTCTGCCTCAATTTAAATAATTTCTTAAGAATTTACTGTGAATAATGCAAAAAAAAAAAGCAAACAAAAAATATTTCCTAGGGATCTATCCATTATATAAGAGGCTTCTGAAAAAATTCTATTTAGGCAAGATAACCCAAGACAATTAAAAAAGAGAGTTGCAGGTTATAAAGAAGATGAAGAAGAGGCAATGTACACAAGTTATAACGAAAGAAATCCTATTTTGGCATATGGAAGAAAATACTAAGAGTGGTTAAACACTGTAGCAGGTTACACAGAGAGCTTTCAGAAATGTTGAAGATGGTAAAAATTAACAGGACAAGGCCCTGAGCAAGTTCACCTAACTTCAAAATTCTCCCTGCTTTGAATGGGAGGTTGGGCTAGGTGGTCCCCAGAGCTGCCCTCCAATCTGCATTATTATATGAATCTATCATTCCCTGAAAATGGTCTTGTGGATATGAGGGAAACAGCCATAATGTTGCGTTCTATCTAATCTTCTGTGATAGTGTGTGTAAAAGATGGACTGGAAAGAGCTGAGGAGGATGGCGGTCTGCAGGGGCATGCTTTGTGAGCCCACTGTTGGAGGCTGAGTTGCTGTGTAAGAGCTCATACCCCCACGAGCACAGTGGCACAGGCTGAGGGGAGGAAATCCTGTTTTGTTTCATTAGTTTGCTGTTGATGGGCCTACAGCAGTTTAACGAAAGAGATATTAATTTCCAACTTCTGCCCTGAAGCTTAAATAGTTTGGATTAGGTACAACAAATCAGTTAAGACTAAGAACATTTTAACTCTCCTACAGCATTTTTCTTCCCAGATCTCGCAGCACATTGCACAGAAAGATATGCATCATTGTCAAACTTGTGCATATGAAGGATCTGAAGCTGATTTGCTCAAGGCTCTGCAACACATCAGTAGAAAAGCTATCAGTGGCATTACATGGTCCTTTCCCTTTTGAAATCCCTCATTTACTGATGGGGAGCAGGACACAGAGAAAGCAAGGCTGCAGCTCCACAGCTGGTGGGATGGTTCTGCTCTCTGCGACCTCAAGCACTTGAGCCCAGAAACCATGCACTGGTAGGGTACTAAAGCTAACACATCTCACCTCTTGGCAGGTTGTTGTGACTCATGCTAGCTTGGCCAAGTGACTGCTAGATAAGCTAGATTTGTCTTGCTCGTTCAAAAGATGGAGAGAAATCTGTCTTGTCTATGATCTGCCAAAGCCACTGGTAAAGTGGGAAGTGAGGCCTAAACTTCTTTAACGTCTCCACCACAGAAACACTCACACTTCAACCCTGAATAACAGGTCCCCTAACTATGGATCATACTGTCAATCAATTATTAATCTGCTTTTTTTATTAACTGCTTTCTGTATTTTGACATTGCACCACCATAAACAAATTGAGATGGTCTCGGAAAGGAGTGGGAATAAGGAGCTGCATACTAGATCAACAAAGTATTAGCAATTTCAACAGAATTAGAAAGTCCCTGAAAGTAAGTGTGAATAAAAGGTTGATCACAGATGCTGTACAGAGCGGGTGGGGAAGGGCAGGCAGTTGAGCAGCCTCTAGGATGAGACCACTCGTTCCCCACCGTTAATGCCTGGAGGGTAGGAAGGACATGGGATGTAACCAAAAGGATAAGAAATGAACACAGTCTATTATTTTGTCCTCCCTTTTGTGATAAAATTTATGTTTAACCTAGGTAATAGTGAGAGGCAGGACTGTGCCTAAGCAAGGTACAGACATGTTGCTTTAACGTGCTGGGAAGATATAATTACTTTTCCCTGTTAGAAATGCAGACATGTCTTCTATTATTATTTTTTTTTAAGCAACAAAATTATAATGGATTTGAATTGATTCCAAACATTGACTGCCTCAAAATATGCAGTAAATCCTGATGGACACCAGGACAATTCACTGTACTGCACTGTCATCCAAAACACTGAGGAACTGAACCCTATCAGGTTGCTCCAACTATTACAGAGCTGAACATAGACCACATCTTCAAAAATGCTTTTTCAAAGAGAACACACTTTTAAAATCAAGTGCAGCTGCTGACGCCGAACCCATGATAAAATTCTTTATTTAAAGAAGCCTTTCATCAAAATCTGACAAATTCAGATGATTGGCACTTTGCAAGATCATGGGCAGGTAGATCTGCTTTTTTTCAGTTGAGAGCAAATGAAAGTATGCAACAGGATGAGAGCAAAGATGTGGGCTGTATTTAAGCTAGCAGACCTCCTGACAGCTTGGGGATTTTCCCTGTGTTTTATATTAAGAAACATGAGCACAGTATATGGGCTTTGCTGATAAGAGTAGAAAAATGAATTGGCAGGCACTTTCGCAGACAAGACGGGAAAGCAGTGTTTGAACACAGCTGAAATTGGACTGCTTTAATAGCTGATCACAGAACTGATGTTCAAAGCTCTCCGTCTAGCTTCCATCTAATAGTTTTAGTTTCAGCTAAATATAAGGGAATTGAAAAGAATCAGGAAGTAAGGCCATTTCTGGTGACCACAGTAGTTGAAAGAAAACCCTTTATTCTGAAAATGCTGCTGTTTATTCATTACATGGCCAGGTCCTTAAAGGTGAGGAGCTGCTGAATTAATGAAAACAGTTTATTGCTCCTTTTCTGACGGGACCAGTAGCTGTAAGAAAACATGGATATGAGGAAGGTCTGGAATGCTCAAAAGGTTTCTTTTGTGTGGGCAAAAAAGAATAACCTTGCAGTTTTCAAATTAAAGGAGCAATATCTGTCACTACTAATCAAAATGTGGTGCCTCAGCTGTTCAGATGACTGCCTCACAAAGAGTATATAACTACAGCCATATCCCCCTCATCAAACACTGAGTTAATTATGTTCATAAAACTATTAAAACAATAAAAATAAAAAAATCAAAATAGAGGACTTAGCTTCTGAGCTGGATTTGATGTTTATAGGTAATACAAAAAATGATATCAAGGCCTTGTAGCGTTTCTTCTGCAGACAACTCCACAGGAGCACACCAATATCCTGGATGGCATTTTACTTTGTAGATATGCCTAAGCATCTGAGAGGTTTCAAGGCAAGGTGACTGTGGCCACTGCGTAGTTTTCCTTGGGGGTGGTGGTAAAGGAAATATAAAAAAAGTGCTTACATGCGTTTCCCTGCCAGGAATCTTGCTCATTGATCATGCATTGCATTTGGATGCCAGCTTCTGAGGGACTTTTTAAATGAGAGAGCAAAGCCATCACTAAAAACAGTATCTGGAAGCTGAAGCCAGAAAAACTCAAGCTGGAATTCGGGCACACTTAGATAAGTCAGGCCCAATCATTGCTTGGACAGCCCTACAAGGAACTGTGAGGTTTCCAGTCAGTTTGAGAACATGAGAAAATGGCTGCCTTTCCAGAAGACATACAGTACAAGTTTGGGTCTTGCTTTGGGGGCAGCAGGGTGCTCTCCAGTGGCCTGTGGAGCACAGGAGAGTCAGGGATGAAGGCCCAGTGGCCCCTCTGATCTCAGGAGATCTGTAAGAGCACTTCATGGTCAGGGGCCAGGGAGAGCAGAGCATGATGACTTCTGGGGAAAGGACCCAGTTGGAGAGAACCTATTCACCCTGACCCACACCCAGCATTTCTCCAGTAGAAGCAGCAACAAAGAGGTGACTGCAGAGAATGGTTCACCTGAAGCACCCACCTCTGGCGGGGCTAGATCTGATAACTAGGAAAGGAGCCCAAAGGCTGGACTTGCAGCTTTAGATGGGCAGAACTAGATGAGGTGAACTACTCCCTCCGGCATGCACTGATGGCCCTAGCCATGCATCATTTACATTTGAAGTCAGGCAACATTTAGCTGTGACAGTCCATGATGGCTGATTTCTGTTTTAATAAAAAGCAAAGAGTAATAGGAAACTCAGTCAACACTTCCTAAACTAATAAAAAAAGGGGGTATCCAGTTGCTCATAGCCATTTTTTACTTGTCTTTTACTTAATTTATTTGGAACAATGGTAACATTCTTTGTTAAATTCTTGACCAGTGGTTTAAACACTAATAGACATCTGAAGCCTCACTCAAAAATCATGTCTTTTTTTTTTTTCTGATTAGCTTAAGAAGACTGCAGATAATCAATAACATGACAACGGCTTACCAAATATCCAGCTAGCTTTATATTCCAGTGACAGAGGTTGAAGAGCAACTCTGAATGCTATTTTAGATAGTGCAATTTGTACTTTGCAGAACTTATTTTAAAATCCTGTTATGCAGCATTATCTAATCTCCTTCTGCTCATCTAAAAATACCATCATTCTAGCATGCAAACCAAATTATATTTGTCTGAGATTCATGAAAGAGGAAGCATCAAAAGTGCAAAACATTCAACACAGATCCAAGTTCTGATACAGATGAAAAACCTTACTCCACAGTTTTTGAAAGTTATCTAATCCAAAGGTCACACACAGTTTA